CAAGTGTGCTGATACAAAGTAAAGCATCTAGGAACAGAGCGAGCAAATTATTATTTTTTTATCCTTTATCCTTTGGTTTCCCATGCTGAATGCAGTGACACTATGAATTTTGTTGTTTAGTTGTGTCCGACTCTTCATGACCCCATGGACCAGAGCACACCAGGCACTCCTGTCTTCCACTGCCTCCCGCAGTTTGGTCAAACTCATGCTGGTAGCTTCGGAAACACTGTCGAACCATCTTGTCCTGTGTCATCCCCTTCTCCTTGTGCTCTCAATCTTTCCCAACATCAGGGTCTTTTCCAGGGAGTCTTCTCTTCTCATGGGGTGGCCAAAGTATTGAAGCCTCAGCTTCACAATCTGTCCTTCCAATGAGCACTCAGGGCTGATTTTCTTCAGAATGGAGAGGTTTGATCTTCTTGCAGTCCATGGGACTCCCAAGAGTCTCCTCCAGCACCATAATTCAAAAGTATCAATTCTTCGGCGATCAGCCTTCTTTATGGTCCAGCTCTCACTTCCATACATCACTACTGGGAAAACCATAGCTTTAACTATACACCATGAATTAGTGGAATGCAAAAATTATGAATTTGATTTTGCAGTCTCAATAGGACAGCTGGTCTAAGTTTGTTTTCATGGGATGCCTGATTTTTAGTTGGCTATTTAACTAGTATAGCTCAAGTTCTCAAAGTTATCAGGAGATTCCTCAGTCACAGAAAGAACATTACAGTACACAGTTGACATGCAGGTATAACAGAGTTGCCAATCAGCTAAGAGAAAAATAACCTGGCTGGGTTTTTGTTTTGCTTTCATGCTGCTTGCCATAAACCCTCAGTGTACTAAGCTGTATACCTCTGGTGAACAGGCAGCTTTGCACTGGTTCTTGCTCCAAATCATCTACAAATAATGGCAGCTGGTAGCTGGTACACATATTTTCATCCAGGGGTGTCGGGGTGGGACAAGCAATTCCAATGAGTAGTTTGGCAGCTAGAATCACATTTCCTCACATTTACATTTCCTGTAAACCAGCCCATATACAGGATTAAGACTTCAGCCTCATATGTATTCTTTTTTGGTGAAATTTAAGCTCCTCCAGTTTCCTTTTTGCTATTTCCCCCTCAGTTCAGCCTTAGTCTTCGCTAACGAGTCATTTTTAACTGATTACACTTACATAAAATTAGCATTTGCAATTTGCATCTCCCCCTGTCCACCCCATTACACTGGCAGCACTGGCAAAATTAGGCCCATGTTGGGCTGTCACAGCTGTGGTCATATAAAATTCTCTCCACCACATTAGAGCATACTGCAGGGTTTTTGTTTTTGGTTGGGTGCAATTTTGTGGTTTACTTGTTAAAAGTGCCAAAGGATGGCTATTTTTTAATTGCAATATCAAAATGCATGAGAATGAGACTGCATTTTAAATTATAAAAATGGAAAGTGAAAAACAAATTTACAAGCAACACAAGATTGGCGAATGTTGTTGTATCCTAGTACTTAATAGATTAATTGGTCATTTAATTGATTAAAAGCAACACAGTTAATTAACTAAACATTATAATTGGTCAGCAGCCCTTGTAATTACCCAATTCCCAAAAGACAAATGTCCTAGTAGTTGTTGATAATATGCATGCAATTATTCTAAATTGTAGAGCTTTAGGCTTCAAATGTTACATCTTAATCAGAATGGAATCTAGAAAAGGTTTCCATGTAGCAGTGGCTCCTTCAACTTTCCACAGTCCTGGGCTTCTATAGAAAGGGGCTATATAACCTAAACTAGCTATTGTTTTAAGTGGAACATGTCAATCCAAAACCTATTTAAAATAATCAATAATTTGTTTATTGAAAAGGATAAAAAACAGAGTAAAATGTCAGCCATTTGAGAGGTGCTCTAAACAATGGCCAAGAGAGTAGAAATCAATACACACCCTAATCCTCTATTAAAAGTAAGCTTGTGTTCAAAGTGAGCTCTGTTCTTCCTATGACACTCCTAATTTTCCAAACTTTCTTCTTTCAAGGAACACTTTCTACATCAACTTGTCTGCTGAGAAATCACTGTCTTCTAATGGAACCCTTGCACATTGCAGTGGATTTTCTGGGGCATGTTCTTTCAGTTAAATTGAGCATTGGCCAGAATTGGTCAGCCCCATTACTTCTCCTTGTGAGCTGAGACCACACCATTAAATCATATTCAGCAATCCAGTGCAACCACCTGCTCCCATATAAATCTACCCACAAGTTGGGCTATTCCCCAGAGGCCTTGTCTGAGTGCCTCCACCCACTGAAATATGATAGATGGTAAAGGGCTTGCAAATCCTTAGGTTGGCAGTTTGAATCATCATGATGGGATGAGCTTCCGTTGCTTAGTCCCAGCTCCTGCCAACCTAGCAGTTCAAAAGCATACCAGTGCAAGTAGATAAATAGGTACCGATGCGGTGGGAAGGTAAAAGGTGTTTCTGTGTGCTCTGGTACTCTTCACGGTGTCCTGTTGCGCCAGAAGCAGTTTAGTCATGCAGGCCACATGACTCAGAAAAGCTGTCTGCAGACAAACGCCTGCACCCTTGGCCTGAAATCTGAGAGAAGCGCCACACCCCATAGTTGAAATTGACTGGACTTAACAACCATCCAGGGGTCCTTTACCTATGGCAAATGGCAAGGTAGGGCAGTGCCTTGTTAGTAGAGAGCTCTCCTTCTCTTCGGAAATTTGCCTTGGTCCGTCCATATTCTCCTTTAGTAACAAACCATAGGTAGCTCTGAGAACTTTTGGCTGGCTCTGAATAGTTTCCTCTTGTTGTGATGAATGTTTCTGTTAGCAAGTGGGACCAGCAGCAAAATGGTGCAGTCTATCCCCACTTCCCTAAGAAGCTTGCTCCTGCTTCAGCTTGGCTCAGAAGCATTGTTTAAGCCTCTTGGGGAATGGGGATGGTCATCCCTTTGCCTTCCTCTCCATCCTTCCTGTTATAAAGCAGGAAGAGAAGTTTAACTTCATGGCCTACATCTCCCAGCTCTAATCCATGCACTCAGTAAAGTTGTTGGGGTCTCAGCAAGTCCATTCTTTCTCTCTCCCTGCCCCCTTTCAGCCAACAGCCTAACATTCTGTGAGTCACCTGCTCTCAGTTATAGACTAAAGTGATAGACACACACAGTCTGTCAAACTTTTGGTTTCTATATCTCCCTGCTGCTGCCACAGAAGTGAGCGCTGCCCATAGAGAACAATAGAGAAATCCAGCGTCATAGCATATGTCAGGGAACTGCCATCGGAGCTAGAGGCGGAGGGAAGGCTCCAAAGGGATGCAGGAGAGGGTCCCAGTAGGGAGAGAGGCAGCCCATCTGCTGGGGAAGGAAATCAGCGTAACACCAGTGGAGAAGGGGGGCAGGTGGGGGAATCGGGGAGGAGGCTCCAAGACTCTTCGCTGGAGACCAGCGGAGAGAGTACGGGTACTCCGCTGCCCACACCCTCCCTGCGCAGAAGACTTCCACGCAGGGAGAGTAGGAGGAGACTTGGCATCAAACAACTTTTATGCTGGAAAAGGTTTAAGAAACGCCCACTGACGGATTCTGCCAGCAACTGAGACAGTCACGATGCTGAAGGCTGTTCAGTCAGAAAGGGTTAACCAGGTAACCTAGCCAGGAGTGGCGGCAACTTACGCATGAGCAACCCCTAAACCCATTACAGCATAGCATAGCTGTGCGTTTTCACCCACCTCCAACAAAAGGTGGGAGTTTCTCTCTTTGGTGTTCAATATTACCCTGGAAGTTACACTTCCTAGAGAATGTGGTGAGTTACTCTATTCTTATCTGCATATGCTCAGAGTCAGCTGTGCTCAGTACTTTGTAAACCATGGAAGCTTGCAGGTTCCTGTTGGTCTGTTGCTGTTTAATTAAAATAAACCATTTTAATTCTTTTAAATATAAAATAAGATATCCTTCTCACATTTTCTTAAATTGTTGGCAGCCAGACCAAGCAAATTATGCTTTATATCTCTATTATCCTGTTGCATGCTGTTGCTGTGTTACATTGCTGTGACAAGGGAAAGGAATATATATATCCATATTCCAAATTTCCACTCAGCCACCCAACTTTGCTATTAGAGGGAACAAAAAAAGAATGGTTTTGATCATTTTTGGTGTGTGTTTTTCTAGGATTTCCTTATGCTTGTGTTAGACACTCACTCAAAATATTTTAAAGAAAATACTGAATACATCTCTGGGTGATATAATGGATTATGGGCAATCTGTTTTTCAGGGAAGCTTGTCTGACATCACTGAGAAGCCCCTGGTAATCTTCCAAGGAACTTCAGCGTTCCCATGGAACAAAGTTTGAAAACCACTGCTGTCATGCTGCAGTGGATGCTAACCAGCATGCAGCCATTTTCATCCCCGCCTTCTCCAGATATACAGAGTGGAAGTCAATTTATGGCTAATTTCTCGGCAGGAATGCTTGCTCAAACCCAACAGAGCTTCTAGTGGGTATACTAGTTTATGAGGCAATCTGTCATATTTAAGCAGATCTCTGTTCCCTGACTAGCCTAAAGCAGAAGCAAGCTAACTGAGTACTGCATACTGCACTGTTGTGAAAATGTACTAAACAATCATTATGGAAACTGGAATGCTTTGAGCATATTTCTACTAATGGATCAGTAACTTGCATTCTGATTGGTTGAGAGACAATATGTTTAAGTCACCCATACAGAGAGATCAGAGCAGCCAGCAGCATTGTAGACTTAAAACTACCTCGCTGCCAATCCTTGCTTATGAGGCAGTTTCAAAACTATAGATTTTCATCCTATAATTCATTGTGTTCTACTCCTTTGTATTCAGTGGGAGTTGTGGACTTGGAGTATAAATGTGGAAAAGTTCCATAACATCTGCTACTAATTTCTGCCAGATGAAAGTGATAATGATGATGAATATTTCTGTTGATGCTACTGATACATCGGCGCATCTAAGCTCACTTCCACACTGTATGAATATCTAATTGAAAATACATGACTTGTAACACAGACTTGTTGACTTGGACACAATTTTAATCGTCTTCATTCACTTTAGGATTTCTGCTTTCTAATTTTAAAGGAATAGCATATCTGGTGAAAGTTTCTTGGTGGAAGTTTTGCTATAAGGCGCTTGACTTTATCTTGGTAAATGCATTTTATGCTTTTGACCTGAAGGACTTGATATTTTTGTGTCCTCAGCTGAAACTGCCCAGCATTGCCTTGGAATTCTAAGAAATGAGAGAGAGAGAGAGAGAGAGAGAGAGAGAGAGAGAGAGAGAGAGAGAATGAGTTACGAAAGGTAAAGGTAAAGGGACCGCTGACCATTAGGTCCAGTCGTGACTGACTCTGGGGTTGCGGCGCTCATCTCGCTTTATTGGCTGAGGGAGCCGGCGTACAGCTTCCAGGTCATGTGGCCAGCATGACTAAGCCACTTCTGGTGAACCAGAGCAGCGCACAGAAATGCCGTTTACCTTCCCGCCGGAGCGGTACCTGTTTATCTGCTTGCACTTTGACGTGCTTTCGAACTGCTAGGTTGGCAGAAGCAGGGACCGAGCAACGGGAGCTCACCCTGTCGCGGGGATTCGAACCACCAACCTTCTAATCAGCAAGTCCTAGGCTCTGTGGTTTAACCCACAGTGCCACCCGCATCCCTGAGTTATGAAAGGATAGTGTAATTTGTTAATTTTAGGCTGTGCACAGTTTTCGCTCCCGCCAACCCAGGGGCCCAAACAGACCTAGAGAACATATGTCTTGGATCTGTTCCTGAATTTGAAAGTTGGGCCAATATTTAATTAGGGGGTTGTTGTTTTTTAATCCCAAACAGTCAGGGGGAGGGCAGGGGAAGAAGACACTGCACCTCTTTCGCCTCTCCTATGACCATATTGCAGAGAGCAGGAGGATTCAGTCCTGCTGAAGGAACATTGGGAGGTCTCACTGGAGATACAGGATATCCAAGCTGAACGCTGATAAATTCAGACATACAAAAAGAACATACAAGAGGCTACTGGCTTGTGCTTCTGCCTCTGACTGTCAGGCTGTCTTTTTTGGCGGGGGTGGGGTGGGGAGGCTGCTCTACCCAGGAATCCCAAAGAATGAAAAAGTTATTGCAAGTTCTGTTTCCCCTTTCTCCCCTTTCTATTCATTTATTTGGTTTGATTTATAAATCCTCCCTTCTGCATACAGATAGACAAATCCATTTAAACATAAAACAGCCCTTTAAAATTATTCATAGCACATCAAACGATGCAGTGGGTGAGGTACACAGTTGCAGCTGACCACTTCACTTAACTGCTTCCAAATGCCTGAATAAAAATATGCATTTTAAAATGGTACCAAAACTCATGTGAAGTTGGCACCATTTCTGAGAAGAAGGCATTCCAGAGAAGGAGTGCTACTACAGAGAAAGTTTCATGCCACTATCACACAATGCACTTCTCCTGGTGGCTATTTGTAAGCCCAGCACTGGCTGAGACATTCCAGTTCCTGCAGTCAGATTTTACCTATCATGCTAATCTCCGCTGTATGGATAATCACTCTGTGGATCCTAAGCGGGAACAGCTGAACCAGGTGTCTTGGCTAAAACGTGTATGTGTATATATTTATTTGGCAGGCTACCCATTTGAAATAATGGAGATAGAGAATCCACTCTGACTCATTGATGAGCCAGTCTGCTGTGTTAATCTCAGTCATCCCTCCTACGTGCACTGCTTGAAAATGTAGTAAAATTTATCACCACCTTGATTATGATCTTGCGGACTTCCAGTTGGAGAATGAAAGACGTCATGTTTCTCTGGTGAATAAATAATATAGGATTTGTCAAAATGGATGAGAATTGTTAACTCATTGATACCATTCAGAGAAGGCCCAGAATGCTAACCTGCTTACCCTCACAGTCTGCTAACTAATCCTTTCTTGGCTGTGCATCTGGCTTCTGAAGTCAGGATGCTTTGCTAATGTGGTAGTTACCAAGCCTAAGGAGAACACTCTGTGGGCCTCTCTGGGAGCCACTATGACAACTGTTGTTGATAATAGACACCAATATAGTGATGAGTAAATATCCTTGTCATGCCCTCCAGTGGTAAGGAGTTTTGAACCTTACCAGTTCAGAGGTTACACAGACTCCAGTGAACACACTGGTACCAAACTCAATATCCCCATAATTCAGAAGTGCTTGCTAGTTATAGCTGTAGCACTGTGGAGACATTAGCAGTTCAGCTGAGCTCAAGGCATGGACAAGTGACAGAACCTGGGGTCTTTGAGGAGAAAGCAAAATCCTTCTTCCTCTCATCATCACCTCATAGGACATGCAAATATTCTTCTCTTCCTGGCTTGTCTGCTTTTTGAGCTTCTCCCTAGTTCTTTCCCCTAGCCAGTTCCTCTTCCTGGGATGTCCATCCTCTCCTTCTTCAACCTTTCTCTCTCGAGACTATCTTGGGTGTCTGGGGAGGTGCATTGGTACCTCTGCATGTGGTGACCGTTGTTGGCTTCCACTTCTAGTCTCCTGACCCCTCTTTTCCTCTGCTGTTCTCCTTCTGGTTTCAGGGACTCCCTCCACACCACTTTAGCCTCATATTCCCCACCTGCAGGTGACAACTCCCCACAGATTTGACCAGAGCTGATTTTTGATTCAGTGATGGGCGCCCAGTACCAGCCACATGTACTGACATCAGCCAATAAATCCTATCCCCATGTGCTCTTGCTCTTCATTCAGTGGCAGCCATGGGAAGAGTCCTTCACCTACTGGGAAGGCTGACAGCACTCCACGGCCTACCTCTGTAGTCATATTTGCTTTGACATCCCAAACTAGAAATGAGATAAGAACTCTCTGAAAACAGCCATGTGAAACCCAGAACAATTACTCCCGTCAGAAGGCAATCATGTCTGGTGGTTGACCTGGTATAATATCCACAAATGGTCAAAGTCCTGTTCAGTGTTTCACTACTGGACGTTGTCATCAGCAGTGCAATTTTGTTATGAATCTAGCATTTCTCATATCTGTGTGGAGGAAAAAGAGCTCTCAAGCTGGTTGGGAAAAAATGAAGTAGTGGTCTCTGAGACAGGCAAAACAGGCCTCTTCCCTGGACAATACCTAAGAAGATATTGTTTGGGTAGGGAAAAACTTGCCTCTTGCGCCCAAGAGGGTGCCATAAACTTAACAAAAACTTGCATAAACACCCTCAGAACTGAAAAAAAGATAACTGGAAATCTTCTGAAGTGGAAATATTTAAGGAGACTGCTTTTGAAGGATCAACAGATGCCACAGTGATCTTAATCCTGGCACCATTACTGTCCCTCTAGGATGCAGCACTCTTTAATCATTGATTCCTCTTGCAATGAGTCACTTCAGGCTTAAAAGGGTTGAATATTGCCATTCTTGAGGGTCCTATAATTTACCATTTAGTGTCTTTGAGACACCTTGCTTTAGCCTTCTGCAGCTGTGAGAATAATGAAATGACTGGCTGGCATTAGGGACAGAAACCTAATGCTTGTAAATACAGTAAAACTGCCTTTGGGCAATTTGGCAACTGCAAGGCATAGCACTGGAGGTGGTCTTCTGTTCCCACTTATCAGATATTGTCTGAGGTAATTTCTGCTCAAGGTGCTTATTTTGAAGCCAGGAATTGCACTGTATATTTGTGTGACTTCATGAACCACTCTTGTTTCTTTTATTCAAGAAGGTTGATGAGGAAAATGCTAACATGTTGGTAGTATACAGATGTACGGTTTGCTTTCTTTTAATGGAAATGTACCCTCGCCTACATGGGCCAAGCCCCTACCTGAAAGAGTGCCTCTCTCTTGCAAAAGACATAAGCTGCTGAAGTAAAATTCAAACCATGTCACAAAAGCTCAGATACGAGCCACACCAGAAACCTTCTGTCTGTTAGTCAGGGCTGCCCAGGTTGCTCATAGGAAACCACTGTTGGTGCACACCCTATCTCTCAGCCAAGAGGAGGTACTTCTCAAAAGTAAAGACTGCCAAACCAGTGAAGTAGTTCAAATTGTTACTTTTTCTTGATTAAAAAACAACACTGAATCTATGTGCCCACTGATGTGCAAACAGACACAGCTGTGCTGCTTTGCTTGTCTGAATTATTAGTTTAATAATCATGGAAGTGACTCCTAAAAACTGAATAGATTTCTTGTTTGTTTGTTTTTTTAAATAATAATTATTGCAACCATTGGTGCAAGAAAATGTTTCTCCTGCTACAATCTCCTGTTCTTCTGTCACAATTAATCGATTTTCGACTGTAGATGCATACTTTATTAATGTTGTTGATGTGGAAGCACTTGTTAGTGCTATTAAAAAATATTTATAGGTACAGACAGTACCCAAGAACTTACTGCACTTGCTAATTTAAACCAGTAGGCAGCTTAATTTGACAGGTATTAATCTGGGATGCAAAAGGGTCACTCAGCGAAAAATGTTGGGTTCGGAAGCAATGAAACTGCTCAGAATCACCTTCCCCATTTAAAGCTATGCTTAAAATAGTTACAGACTCTTGGATGTGCAAATTAGCATTTTGTGTTGATGCAAAAACTACTTTGCTGGTAAGGCTGCAATCCTAAACAAATTTACTTGGGAGTAAGGCCCAATGAGCACAGTGGGATCGATATACAGTACTAAGTAATCACATATTAGATCAGGCTTGTCGAACTGCTATAGTCATACATATCGCAGCCACGCAGTTAACTACATCTGGCTGAAAGTTTCTCTGTCTCCAGAACACAATCCAGCTCCAATAAAATCAGTTGCCATTGTACCTGTGTGTTGTTATAGTTAGGCTGCTTAAGCCCACAACTTTAAAGGGAAAAAATAGCCCACCAAAGCAGGCACAAGGATTACGGAAACTGCTTTTGCCGCTTTAGAATGATGCTTGCATTACAAATGTAGAAAATAATAATAATAATAATAATTTGTTTGTTTATTTGTTTGTTCTTTTGTTGTACCCTGCCTATCTGGCTGGGTTTCCCCAGCCACTCTGGGCCGTTTCCAACAAAGTGTTAAAATACTTTATTAAAAAAAAAAAGACCTATGACTCTCATTCAGAAAAAAATGTTGTGCTTAGGTCCCATCTGATGCCCTTTTAAATGTGATGTGGGAGGAAGGGATTACAGTCGGCCTTTGGTTGTCGAACTTAATCCGTTCCGGGAGTCCGTTTGACTCCTGAAATGGTTCAAAAACCAAGGCGCAGCTTCCAGTTGACTGCAGGAACCTCCTGCACTCAATCAGAAGCCGCACAGGACTTTCGGCTTCTGAAAAACGTTCTCATACCAGTACACTCATTTCTGGCTTTGCAACATTCAGGAGCCAAAACGTCCGAGTACCAAGGTACGATTGTATTGGTTTGTTCTTCTTAGCTTTACAATATATTTGTGGTTTTTATATTGTAATTTTATGTTGTGAACCACCCTGAGATCTGTGGATGAAGGGTGATATACAACCAACAACAACAACACTAATAAGGGTTGAGTGAGTTAATAACAACTTAGTTGTTATTATTATTATTATTATTATTATTATTATTATTATTATTATTTATACCCCACCCATCTGGCTGGGTTTCCCCAGCCACTCTGGGCGGCTCCCAACCGGATATGAAAAACACAATACAGCATTAAACATTAAAAACTTCCCTAAACAGGGCTACCTTCAGATGTCTTTTAAAAGTAAGATAGTTGCTTATTTCCTTGACATCTGATGGGAGGGCGTTCCACAGGGCGGGTGCCTACTGAGAAGGCCCTCTGTTGGGTTCCCTGTAACCTCGCAATGAGGGAACCGCCAGAAGGCCCTCGACGCTAGACCTCAGTGTCCAGATGGGGGTGGAGACACTTCTTCAGGTATACAGGACTGAGGTCATTTAGGGCTTTAAAGGTCAGGACCGACACTTTGAATTGTGCTCAGAAACATACTGGGAACCAATGTAGTTACCTTGTCTCATTGATTTTATTTGGACTCAGGTGTGGGTAAGACTGTGCACACTTATGTTCTGAACTCCATTGAATGGCATACTTCAAAGTTAACATCCATAAGTTTAGCCTGTACCTTTCTGGGTTCAGAGCTCCCTGTTTATAACTCCCACAAATATATATTTTTTGGTAATGCTATCCTAAATTTTCATCCATCTCTCAAGAGAGGACTTTCTGAAATGAGTTTCTAGTCTCAGATGAGACCTTGCAGTTTTTCCTTTGACCTTAAATAATTGAACACTTTAGATGTTTTTGATGGAGCTTTAAACATTCAATACATTTTAACTAGTCTTGAAATGTGTCATATTTTACTTTCATACTCTTCCATCTGTGGTCAGAGGTCATGTCTGAAGATAAAACTGTATCGTCATTTCAATGCATTTTAATATAGCTTTTAAGATTCAGGTGTGTGGTGTTTTTTTTTAAAACAGGGTATCAGTTGCTATTGGAGTGAATTAAAACAGGGGAAATATTTCTAAACTTGCTATACCAGCAAAAAAAGAAAATAAGGGGGGAAAGCAACAGCACAGCACATATGTACATAATGCTATACCAGTGTAACATTACAAAGCATATTATAAAGCATAGGGTGGCAAACAACATAATGGCAGCAATGTCTGTCTGTCTGTCTGTCTGTCTGTCTGTTTGTTTGTTTGTTTGTTTGTTTGTTTGTTTGATATTTCTCGCCCACCCTTCATCAAACCATCCCAGGGCCGGATTACAGTCCAATTAAACAAACAATAAACAACTACTTTACTTTTAAAAGACAACTGAAGGCAGCCCTCTTTAGGGAAGTTTTTAATGTTTGATGCTGTACTGTTTTTCATATTCAGTTGGAAGCCGCCCAGAGTGGCTGGCGAAACCCAGCCAGATGGGCGGGGTATAAATAATAAATTATTATTATTATTATTATAAACAATTTCAATTAAACTGAGAACAGTCATATCTCAGTTATAAAACCTGCATGGAGCCCTCAATGAGTTTTCATTGCATCAGCTAGCTAACGTTACACAGAAATTAATATTCCACAAACTGCCTGGGCAAACAGGTATTCTATCTGGTGCTGAAACAGGAACATTTAGCAGCAGCAATTGTATATGCAAGAGGAGGGCATCCCATAGTCAGGCCACTACCATAGAGAGGGCCTGAGCCTGTGTCACCATACAGTGCTCTTCCCCTGGTGATGGAATAACAAGGAGAGCCTCCTAGCACTTTAAAAAAAGAGTGCATATAGATAGAACATACAAAACAACGATGTTATACAACAGTATGCAATATAAAGATGTAAGAGTTCTATTGTTCTGGATCAGTTGTTCATCATTCCCACTCTTTCTAAGCACCTACAGATCGTGATGTCTCAAAAGAAAATAGTACTTCCTTAGAAACTGAGGTGAATAACCTGAAGTAAATGATGTTTTCAGGGGCAAGTCCCCAGGTCCTCTCTGTTCAAAGCTACGAGCGAAATTTCTTCACTTTCCTGAGCCGTGTTTCTGATCATGGGGATCAATGCAATGCAACAAAGTGATGTGTTTCATGACACTTTTGGAAATAAGGTTAAGTTTGAGTTGGGGGTGGGGGGTTGGTCACCAAATTTTAGATGCGACACCTCTTCATCCATTTTGAGTTCAAGTTCTTGCCCTATTGCCATAGCTGTCAAGCGTCCCTTATTTGGCGGGACAGTCCCTTATCCCAGCGCCAAGTCCCGCTGCTGTCCCTTATTGATGATGTCCCTTAAATTTCCTGGGTTTCAAAGGAAGCAGCTCCTCTCCCTCCCTCCCTGCCAGCCAGGGAGGAGGGAGGCTCCAACTGTGTTGCTTGGCTGTGTTGCTCACCCAATAAGGAGTCTAAGAACGACTGGAGGGTGGAGCTTGCATGCCTTGTGCCGATCAAATCGGCCGCATTGCTTGGGGACTTGCCTTTGCTCAGCGCTTCCCAGCGTAGAGGTGACGGTGGTTTTCCTTGCTGCATCCCCTTTGCCGGGTTCTGCGCTGTGGGAATCACCACTTGAGACTTCGTTTGGCTGCTGGGTGACTAAAATCCCTTATTTTGGCTGCTGATCCCTTATTTTTGAGGCTGCTGGTCCCTTATTTTCAAATCTGTAAGTTGACAGCTATGCCCTATTGCATGAAAAGACTCTATATTTGCCTCCGTACCAGTCATACTGCTCCTGGAGTTCTTCCAACTGCCCCCCACCCAGCTATACAAAAACCACAGTAAGGACCAAGGACCTGATATGTAGCACTGGTGTCCCTAATTTAGGACAGGCAATGTGGCTGGTGCTTACTGGAATGGAGCTGTGTGGGTTCACTAGCAGGGGTGCTGCACTAGTGTGACCATGTAGCTCTGACCCCACCCAGCACCATAGCAATGGTGCAGTTAAGCATGTGTTCATTGAATTGCAAGTTTTTGGATAATGCTGACACAATCACGTAACTACTTTGGGATGCAACAACAAATGTGGGATGGATGTTTGAGCTAAATCAAAACTATTTCTTGAAGTTGCATGCTGAGGAGGAAGAAACAGAGGAAGGACTTGAGAAAGAGGGATCAAGGTGGGGGGGTTTAGTCTCTGTAGTCTTATACTATAAGCTGTAACAATACCCAATCCACAATACATCTCCCCCCTCAAAAGCCCTCCAAAACAGGGTTGCAAGGGAAATTAGCTAGCTGTACTGAGTGAATTTTACCTTCACCTCTTTAGCTGACCTGGATACACAGTATGTTGTGGCCTTGCAAGCATCAACTTTATCCAGCTCAGTGAATTTTATGTTCAACTCTATCCCCAGGCATTTAAAAAAACTAACTTGTTACAAAGCTCAGATTAAATCACTGCAGGCAAAAATATAGAAAGCTTGCGGCAACTGAGACAACACAAAATGGCTTCCAGAGAAATGAGGGTAGTGTAATATTAATGGTATTTGTCTTGGGTAGGAGAAGGTGAGATATATGTATACGTGAGTGTGTGTAAGAGAAGGGTATTTATTTCTTTTTTTATGCATACCAAATGCCAGGTTAAGTAATTGGGGCCCTCTTTGCATATTATTGTTTGGGTTACAAACCACCCTGACAAATAAGTGTGTACATAATATTGAAGTCAATTGACTACTTTCTGTAGCACTGGAGTCTAGCATAGCCTGAGAACTGGATTGGGGAATAAAGAAGCACAGAGTTGAAGTCAGGAAGAAAGAAGCTGACTGCCCTAGGTCAAATAAAGCTCCAGGAAACACAAGGAGTGTTAAAACCCTGCAGAATCTAAGATACAGCAGCCACCTCATTTGAAACCAGTTCAGGAGAGGAAATAGGCAGGAAGAACCAGCTGCACAAATATAAGAGGAGAGACGACACCTGGCTTACCAGTAGTACATGTGAAAAGGATCTAGGGGTCTTAGTGACTCAAGCTTAACATGAGTCACTGTGTGATGCAGCAGCAAAAAACAAACAAAACTGATGTTATTCTAGATGGCATCAACATAAGTATAGTGTCCCCATCAAGGGAAGTGATAGTACTGCTCTGTTCTGCTCTGCCTTGGTCAGACCACACCTGGAGTGCTGTGTCCAGTTCTGGGTGCCCAATTTGCCCAATTTAAGAAGGATATTGACAAGCTGGAATATGTGCAGAGGAGGGTGACCATGATCAAGGGTCTGGAACCAAGCCTTATGAGGAACAGTGGAGAGATTCGGGTATGTTTAGCCTGGTAAAGAGAAGACTGAGAGGTTATATGATAGCCATCTTCAAATATCCAAAGGGCTGTCGCATAGAGGATGAAGCAAGCTTGTCTTCTCCTGCTCTGGAAGCTAGAACCTGAACCAATGGCTTCAAGTTACGAGAAAGGGGATTCTGACTAAACATCAAGAAGAACTTTCTGACAGGAAGAGCTGTTTGGCAATGGACCAGACTGCCACAAGAGGTGGTGGGTGGACTCTCCTTCCTTAGAGGTTTTTAAGCAGAGGTTGAATGGCCATCTGTCATGGATGCTTTAGCTGAGATACCTGCATTGCATGGGGTTGGACTAGATGACCCTCGGGTCCCTTCCAACTCTTCGATTCTATGATTCTATGATAATCACACTGCAAGTTTCACTACAGTATGACTATAAACTTAGTACATGTTAAAAATGCTATAATATTAATAAATGTTGATGACATGATATTGTAGAGTCTCAGGAACTGTCAGTTTACACTAGGGAAAAGGACAATATGAACTGATCTCATTTCAATACTAGGGAATGTGTGCTATTGAATTTCATTATAGTTGCTTTATTTGTTATTTTGAAATTGCTAATATCTCCAGGGCAAGTGAACACATCTAGAAAATGAGTTATGAATAAACAAAATTGCACACTGTACACTTAATTATTACCTGCATTGCACTAATGGTCAAAAGTTTAAAACTTAAAATTTGTAATATAGTAGTCAACATTCTTTGTGGTTGTGATTCTGCTCCTCAGTCTTCATATTTTCAGGGAGTGAATTGTATAGAAATAAATGAGACATACTTCTGAGCAAAATTGCAATCCCAAACACATTTCCCTAGAAGTAATTTCCATTGAAATCAACAAGGACTTGTGTTTTAAGGCTCTCTCTGGTAAAGAGCACTGGAGAAATAAAAACATCAGCTCAAACAGAATGGGCCAGAATGGCCCCCTCATAAATATAAATTATGCCAAAAAATGGGATGTATTAAAGATAAATAAGAACAATATTTCAGAACTTAAACCATTACAATGTTATATGTTGTTAACCCCTTCAGATTGCTTCTAGTCTATAAATGGTATTCTAGAAAAACAACCCAGAATGTTAGTTTTCAAGCTAACTAAACCAACAAATTCAGCAGACACAAATACTCAGATGAGATTTATGTACTAAGCCAAAATGTGTCAGGAAGAATAGACCAACTACTGGCAGGGGTGGACTTTGCTCTTTCAAATTTCCATGGTGCCCTGGGAGAGGCCAAAATTCAGTGCCCCCTGCCTCTTGCCTTCCGTTATGTGCGTGCAGTACAACATAGTTGTGACACCCTGTGGTGTCCATCTTAGCTTGGCGCCCAGTGCAAGGGAACTGTTTGCACTGCCCTAAATCTGCCTTTGCTTCTGGGCTATCCAAACCAACCAAATTCAAATCCGTATTTTATGGATATGAACTACTATTGAAACATAGTTCCTGCAGACATTTTTGTGGTCCATTCCATGAATCCCATCTAGTCATGTGAAGCTGGTGTTCTGGATCACTTTTTCCAGAATAATGTTGCTTAGCTAGAATGGATAGCCTAGCTTACCTGGCCTTAGGAGAGCTCACAAAGCCCGTGCCTCTGCCTTGCCTCTCTCTGCCTGGATCTCGGGGGTGGGGACTAGATAGACAGTCACTCAGTGAGCTCACAATGACTTGCTCACTGACATCTTGAGCAGTTCACAGTGAAGTCTCTCTAACCTTGTTTTACTCTGTAAAGCTCTAAACCACTTGGACCGAAAGCACCTTGGGGATTACTTGATTCCTCATGATCACTGAGACCCTCCAGTGGGGCACTTCTGGTGGTTCCCAATTCCCCTGAGGTTCAGTTGGCCATAACTAGGGACCAAGCCTTTAGCAGGCCTTGCCCTGTGAAACTCACTGCTGATAGAGCTTCAAGCAGGAGCCAACCCTCCTTTTCCTGAGATGTCACTCTTCCAAACACTTCTTTGTCTAGACAGGTCTTTACAACATGCTTTCTAAACATGGAGCTTTGGTTGATTTCATACTTACATGTTATGTGCAATCTTTCTGTATTTTTATGAAACTGCAGGTGATGACTTCGTAATTAAGTAAGTAAGTAACTCCCAGGAATCACCCCCTGTCCCTTTCTAAGTGGCCTGGACCTGGTAGATCAGTTTCAATTGAATATAATGGTCAGACCTGGCATCTGGATCTCTGCAGAAGTCCCAGGGGGTGGTTGGTCTGTCGCACGTAGTAAGGACTCCAGGAGTCCGGGCAGTATTTTGGAAGCATCCTACTTGGAAGTTGGTGTTGTGTGCTGTTTGTCTGGAATACCAGTTATTTCCCAGGATGCTTATGCAAGCATGGTTTCTGTGGAGGTTTGGTGGCTTACTGCATGAATCTCAAATTCTCATATATGTACTGTTAATTTTGAGGATCAGTGTAGCTTAGAGGTTGGTGTTCTGAGCCATTCTGGTTTGGTTCCAGCCTTTACACCGTTCAATTTTCAATCTATATGCTCCCTACAAAGGCAGGTTAATATGAGAGACATTTGTGTGAAAGGAAAAGGAAGGCCAAAACACCTGACCTGTTTATTTCTACATGTTTCTGTTTTACTAGGGATTCAGTGAATATGAAATATATAGGCAACTTAGAAGTCTGTAGTCAAACGCCTGGCTGGAGAAGCTTATTTATTTAAGATATTTATGTACTACTTTTCAAACAGACCTCACAAAGCAGTTCACAAAAGGGCATTACAGCAATAAGGATCAGTTTAAAAAGAGAGAGAAAAAGAAAATGTTACAATAGAAGGTGAAAACAATTGTTTAGAACAAGCTATAATGGCTTCCTTAGCATCCTGCCCAGGTCAGGATGCCCCTGTGGTAATGGCTGGAAGAAGGAAGAGGAACCACCACGGACATCTGGATTGTGGCAGCTCACCTGAATGATTTATTTCTTCTCCCTTCCCCTCAAGACAAAATAGTCTTTATTGATTTTAAATCAATACAGAAAAAAATATAACTGTTCAGGTTGAAGCTGCAAGCCCTATTGACTACAGTGGCTGATAATAAGGCACCTGCTTTACAGTATTGTTATCTTATGTATTTTTACTTGGAAATAAATCTCACTTGAGGGCGGATTCCCTTAATGCTCCCCATCAGTGGAAACCCTCACAAGGATTCTGCTTTCCTAACAGGGTCACCCCCCCCTCTCCTCCCTCCATGCCCCCCCAAATTGGCTTGGTGGGTGGTCAGAAGAACCCCTGGAACAACATGCAGGGGGACGAGGGGAGATCATTCGATCTGGCAAGCTGCAGTGCTTGTGCAGATGGAACGTTTGTAACAGAGCAATGTTGAATTCCTCCCACTGTATTTAATGGGTCTTATTCTCAGTGAAGTCGAAATTAGTGCCATTTACATCCCAGTGTAGCTATGGTTTATTTGGATGTATTTCAGTGGGACCTACTTCCAATTACACATATTTGGGAGTGCAGGCCTAAAGGGGGTGAACTTTGTTTGGACCAAGCTCAGTGTGGTTATCAAACATTCCTCAACTACTTATATAGGCTTCAGGGTTATTAAAATAAGAGAGGCACATGTAGTTTTGAGGTCATGTTTTTCTTTAATTCTCACATGAAGGCCCCTCTCCTTCACTATAACATATAGGAAGGTTTTGTTTAATTATTGAAAATCTTAATATTTTAATCCTCTGAAGTAGCCAGCTCTAGAGAGGGAATTGGTCGTGAAACTCTAACTTTCATTATGGATCTGCCAATATCCCAGCATAGTAATGTGCCATTGATTTTGCTATTATGGCCGATTACCTGCTTCAGCTAAGGGGTAAAAGGTTCATGGATTAATTCAGCCATATATTTTCCCTTTAGTATTGTGTATAAGACATGCACAGACATGAGATGTATGTAAATAGACCATTATGGGAAAATATCTACTTAGTGTACATTTTAAAAGCACCCTTCCGCAGTCTTCCTCCATGAAATATTTTGTTTGGTTTAATGATAAAGCTGATGAAACATTGATCCCGTGTTCTTTTCTGAAGTCTTGAAGAAATTATTGTTAATCAGTGTAATGGAGATATCATGAATCCCTTGAATATAAGCTTGGTTATTGTCAAAATCATGGTCTGAAGTCTACCATACTTAATTAGAAGCCATTTTATGAAAATTATGTATAAGGTAGCATATATTATCCCAATAACCTTCAGATTTGACTCCAAGACCTTCCAGATTCTATGTGCAAAGTTGTGGCCCTCAAATTATTGGTTTGCTTGAAGAAGGGGTAGCTGGCCAAACTGAGGTGTTTGTGAGTGGCTTCCACCAGTTTGTCGATTATCAGAGTCAATGGTCTCAGGTAGTGAGTATGCCGGACAGCGAATTGGAGTTTGCCAGACAGTGAACTGGAGTTTGCCAGGGCTCCTGCTTGCCTCACTCTTAGCTTGGGTGACCAACCACCCAGATCCCTAATGGGGCAAGGCTCTTTGCTGCCCCCTCCACTTCCACTTTCCTCCCTGCTTCACTCTAGAAATATCTAAATTTTAAGCTATCTTGCACCAGGTCTTGATTACTTTAGCCAGAACTTACTGTCATATTTGGATAGAGGAGATTAACCCATGGAATGTTTTATACCATCAATATTTTATCCATCTTTCAGCAGACTGATAGTTCCTATAGATTAAGCTACAAAGAAAATATACTCAGAAGTGAGTGTACTTAGGATTGCTTCCTTAAAAACATAATTTTAATTTTACATATTGTAATCCTTAATTAGAATAATAACTTTGTAAAGTATACAGTTTGGGGTTTTTCCCCTCCCCCCTTTACTTTCCCTTCAACATGGGTGCTGTTTCTCTTTCTCTCTTTCTCTCTTTTATTTACATCACACCATGTTTAGTGCACATAAAATTATGCACGTTTTAACTTTCAATAAAGATGTCTGAAAAAAATAATTTAAAAAGGAATTGCTTCTTTAAAAGCATGAAACCTTTGGTGGCAAGCATCAGATTGCATTTGTAAATCACACTTGAGTGAGACTTTGTTGTTGCTGTTGTTGTAAATCCCAGTATAGTAGGCAGAACCAATTCAGAGTGGGAGGTGGGAGGGCTATTTGGCCTGGTTCTTCGGGCTCAAAGGGGCCTCAGATTTAGACACTTGTTAGTGTTTGTTTTGTTTTGTTTTTTACATTTGATAAGCTTCACGACTTGTTTTTATGCACATTGGATCAAAATGTAAAACACACACTCAGCTTAGTGCCTCAGATTTAAACTATTAAGAGATGTGGTTTGGAAGAATTCATTGTTGTGGTTGCTAACTGATAGATTTTATCATATTAAAGAGTTTTAAATGTTCATAAATATTAATAAAAATGTATCTGTTCTGAGGGCACAGACTTAGACTGTGATGATTGTGCCCTCTCAGACAAACTGATTATACAAACCACTCGCTCTTTTACATGGTGCCTTACACGAAAACAGTATTGCCATTTTTAATATTAATTATGGCTAGTGGCCTCAAAAGCTGGAAGTGGCCCAGCCTTTGCACCTGGGGTCAAATTGCAGACACAAAGGTTCATCATACCCACAGGTCTCTTTTTACGTTTGTTAATTTCCTGACCCAGATGTGAGGCTGGGATCCCCACAGAAGCTTAGGTGTTTGGCTCCAAATACTCTTTTTAGAACCACCACCCCACAGATGAAGTTCTAGCATTTTTTAAAAGAAGCCACTTTTGACAGGTGTACAAAACATCAAACAGATAACAATGGTGGTGATGATTGATTTTTTTAAAAATAAAATCTACTGGGTGATGTGTATTTTGGGGAGGAACTCATAGTCTATCCAAGACTCCATTGCCACAGTCCATCCCAAATACTTTATTAGGGATAAAACCAGACTATCACAATTGTTCTTGCAAGTATGGCTGCCAAAATTAGATCAGTGTTCATGGGAGAGCTGTAATTTAGTTCATGTCAACATGACATGCCTTCAGGCACCTTGCTGCTCTGGTTCAGCGAAGTATGTGATTTTCCAGATGGTTATACTGTGATATTTAGTTTTTATAGTGAACATGTGATTGGTTTCTATGTCTGTTTTATGGCTAGCTGTTAAACTGACCTGACCATTGCCAGAAGGTGCTATGTAGCTGCAGTAGTTAAAGCCTCTTTTATTAGCTCTCTTGATACCATGGGCAAACAGATCGAAGCTACCTGCTTGAATACAAACAGCATACCCATCCTTTGGTGATAAATTCATCACAACTTTTCCGTTATTGGCAACTCCTGCTGTTCCATTCTGAAATGACTGCTTTGTATAAACAACCTGTTGCATGATAATGGCAATTATTATTTGAAAAGCAGTCATGAAAAATTGAGTCCCCAAAGAGTATCAACAGATCTCGCTAGATTTTTGAATACATCTAGGCTTAGGTCTCCTCCTCCTGCAGGGATGCAGAATTTCCTTTGGATGCATGCAATTTGTGAAGCAGCGTGAAGCTGAAAAGGCAGACGTTGTGCAAATCATTATATGAACCCATTTCCTACTACTGAGGAGTGATACATTTTAGGGCAAAGGGTGGAACAATGTTATCTTCTCCCTAGAGTTGAACATGTTTATAATCGAAACAGGACTTTTGTGCTTGCTTCCTGACTGACATATCTTCCTCCACCTTTTGGCCCTAAGACTGAATATTATTATGGTTTCAGATTCTTTGGCAATGACAGTTGACTTGAAATTTACTATAAACCTGTGGCCTCTTCTCCCACTGTACTCTTTTGCGACCTCAGGGCTGGAGTTAAATAGCACTTCACCTTGCCATCTCTCTCCAAGAAAGGTGATAGGGTTAATAGAGCAGAATAAATTCAAATGTGCCCTTGATAGTGTATTAAAAGGCTGGCTGGGATGCTCTGGCTTCTCCTGCCTCTGACAAACAGCCAAACACAACCTTTTCTGGTACCTGCAAGGATTTGTGCATATCCAGTGGGATATTCCTTTGAAAAGCAGGCCATTCCACCCAACCTATATCACAAATTGGTTTTGAAACTCCTTTCAGCTTAAAAAGGTGGCTTCCATGCAACACAGGGAGGAATCTGGCCTTTGCTTCTCTGTCATGAACAATCGGTATAGCTGAAAAATTAGTTTGGATAGGCTCTACTAATCTGAGGTCTGGGAAAAGCATGTTAGAGAACTGATCTAGTTTACTTCACAATCATCAGTTTCTCGAAAGCTGTCAGCTGAGTAATGTGTAAATGTTTTATGGGGAGATTCTGCCTAAAGCCATGGTGGTGGACTTATTGACATTTGATTCCTCCTCTTTTACAAAGTACTTCTTTGCAGACTGGATAATTAACTTACGGAACTTGTTGCTGCGAAGAGTGGTGGAAGTTACTCAGGTTCGGCACTTTCATAAGACAAGCTGAGACCATTATTTCAGGCAATAGGTGCAAGGAAGCAGTGAAACCTCCCCTGGGTCCCTTCTTACTTGCTTCACCCTTGCTGCTGCTGCTACTGTTACCACTAACCAATCTCTCAACAAAGCTCTCTGCCTCTTCTGCCTCCCTCTGAGGAAGGCTTCTTGTTCTGAATTAGCTGGTCCAGGGGACACGGTGGATGCTTTTCACAACCAGAATGCCTCACTCTGAAGAAGGATGCCCGTGGCTCTCCCTCAGAGCAAGGCAATGAGAAGGGTGGGGGGAGAGAGAGACCATCAGTGTTTGGCTGGCTCCTGTGTGTGATCCAGTAAGGCTGCCCTTTAGGTGGAATTTTAAAATATCTTTAGGAGTAAGTGATCCAGTACACACAATCGTATCACAGCTTCTTGGAGCCATTGTGGCCCTTATAGCTTTTATGCACAGTGCTTAATTCCTATGGTCCTACACGAACTTGCACGTTGGGGCTTTTAAAGCAGTAAGAACAGTGATATATTACATGGTCATAAGAACAAACAATGATTTCAGGTCAACTGTGCTCTACAGCCATTCTTCTGCAGTAGCAATGCCAATGTATATTGTCTTTATTTTTTAGAAAACAAAACAAAACAAAACAAAACAAAACAAAACAAAACACAAAACTCATGTCAGTGGGAATGGGATAAACATCCTTAGCAGTTATTAATTTGCTTTCTGGTGTGAAAACCATAAATACAATCTTGAATTAATGAATAACCCTTTCTCCATTACCACAGAAGAGTAACTAAAGAGTTCATTTTCTTATGGAGCTGCTTTAAAAAACAACAACAACAACAACAACCACAACACAACACAACACAACATAATATTTAGATCCATATGGGAGGTTTGTTTCTACATGGTAGCTTTGCAGGCAGGCATCGGCGATAGAAATTTTAGCCACTGCTGCAGTGTCAGGTTTGGACAACTAAGTATATGTATGTGGCTCTGGGTGGAAATGTACATTGTTATTCACATCAAAAGTCACATTCAGCTGTTTCAGTAGAGCCAACGTGAACCTTGTTGTGTGGATGAGGAGATGCTTTCAGATCTGAATCTGCATAATCTAGACATTTTGGGGCTGCTTCCATTTGGCCCCCTCTCTTTCCTGTTTGTTGCACGGCTCTGACTTCTTTTTATTCTGGCAGCCATTTGGTATGGCCTGCCAGGTTGAAGATTCTTTTGTGGCATCCCTCTGGTTTTTTAGATTGCTTTTATCAGCTGCACCTGCCTCTGTTTTCACTTGCTGTTTATTTTGCTGCTGTTGTTTTATGTTGGATTTTATTGGATTTTTAAACTATTGTAAGCCACCCACATCGCAAATGCAGTGTAAGGGCAGGATATATATCTCTTGCCAATCTTTTTGTCCTAGGATGGTTTTATTGTTGCTGCTGCTATTGGTATTATTTTAATTTTATTGCAGGCCCCTTTTGAGCCATCAAACGTAAAAGCAGCAGGATATAAATTGAAATACGAAATAAATTAATTTGTCTATTCTTCTTTTTAGCCTGTGCAGTTTATGCATGATTTCCACATGTTTGGATGCTGTTGTGGGAAGCCAAGAATTAATAAACAGAATAGAGCAAATTTTCTAGAGAGGGGTCTCCATTAAAGGTGGCTATTATTAGAGCATTTTGAAGATTGGAGAACCACTGAGAATTGCCGTATTCCAATTGAGCAAATTATTCTGCACATTCACAGCTCAGTGACTGAGAAAATAGCAACAGTGCTTTAATGGCAGTATCTGTGCTCTGATAGGATTACTCGCGGCCAGCCAACATGTAAGAATTGACATTTTAATAGTAAGATTATTGTTTGGGCAATTGTACATGGATTAGCCTCGTCAAACACCCACTGACAATAGTAAAGAAATTATATGATTGTGTAGTAGGGCATTGGCATGTGCTATCATGCATTGCAACCAGCATTCAGTTTTAGAATAATTGTTCATAATGTAGCCAGATAAAATGTTGCTGTAGCTGCTGAAAAAGATACATCCAGTTGCTTTTACTGATTATCAGTCTAATCGCTGGCGTCTACGATTTGCATCACGTAATAACTAGTATTAACAAACTTTTTATCAGGGAGTCTTTTTGTCCATCTCCTAATCTCACATTCATGCCTTAGAAAAATTGGATTGTGAATTAATCTCTGAAACCATGAAGACAAATGAAGCATTATGCATGGGGATCAGATTATTAGGGCTGACACTGGCTTCTGGAGACACCCATCCAATAATTAGAGTGTCTACCATGAAAAATGTAAAGAGAGCTGGTATAATCAAATTACTTCTACACACAATTGCCACAGGAAATAACTTCCGACTCCTCAGGTTGCATATCACGTTTCTTGTAAAATGTTTTTGTGGTCCATCTCTGTCCCAATGCATGCATTGCTGAGTCAGCATGTGAGCAACTGAAAAGTACCCTCCTATAGCTGGCTCCACTTGTCTTGGCAACACATGGAAGCTCTGATCCAATCAGACACCCCTCTGCTCCTCTTCCTTTCTATGTGAGCACCATTCCCAGATCTAGTTGTTGTTGCTGGCATGGGACGAAATACAATATCAAGATGCCCCATGTGACTTCAGCCTCTGTACACTATAGAGAATATGTGGAGAACCACAGTTGTTTTCCCTATAGCTACTGCACACGTCTGTTGATAATGTATGAATTTTGCGAGTTGTTTGATGGTTTGGTTTAAAAGAATAAAAGGAGAATTTCCTAAATGCCTAGATTCAGATTTGGGGCAAATACTCTCTTGGTGAGAGAACCCAAGCAGAGATTTAAAATCACAAAACATGCAGCAAAGTAAAGCATGGAAATATAGGCTTTTAGACCTTTAAAATATCCCATTTTAATTTGCTTCCCAAGCTTCCTCTGACTTCCCTTTTAGCATAGAAAAGACTACACAGTTTGCTAAGTTAAAAATTGTTTACTTACAAACTCTTCAAAGGTCATATTTATAAGCAGTCAGAAAACGCAGGCAGCCAAATTACCAATTATTGCAAAAAATGGTAAAAATGTTTCTAAATTGTTGGTCTAGAAACACAAAAATGGCTTGTAAGCCATGCACGCAGTCTGAGCCTGGAGCAACCAGGTTCTAACCTCCATTACACGTGAAGTTCACATGGTAGATGAAGTGTTTCTAAATTACTTGTACAGAAACACAAAGATGGCGGGCTTAAGCCATGCAGCCATCTTGGCTTGGAGCAATCAGTCCAGATGTCCTTCCTGGTTCATTAAATGTTCCTGGTCTATTAAATCATTAAATTTTGGAAAAGAGAGAGAGAAGAAACAAAGTGACGACTTCCAAGATGAGGGGGCATGCTGCGTGACCTAGCTAAGTCTAGGCAAACAGCTTACTCTATGGTTTTAACTCCTTCCTGCATGAACTAGAGCTAAGCATCCTGGTTATATGCTGATTTATCCCACAAATTATGCCTCTACATTGGTAAAATGTGTAAAGAAGAAGATTAGGGGAGGTCAGATCTTCCTGTGAACTAGGTCTTGTAGTTCACATAAGTCGTGAGCCTTTACTGTTCTTCTACTACAATTTTATATTTACAAAGCTTGTATTAATGTTTAGGGCATTCACCTCATTACTCATTTTGGCATAAGCTTCTTTGGGGCCAAGAGAGGGAAGCATTATGCTATTCCATGGAGCAGCTACTTTAGTCAGAAGTGGTTTTATAATTTTGTTCTAGTGTCACTTGTGGACGTTCTTGGACTGAGGCCAGGCCCTTTTATAAGACCCTAAGACTCCAGGGCTGAAAGTTCATTTGAGAACTTCCTTTCTTCTCATTGCACCCTGTGCCAATGTCATTTTGTCTGAGGGGGGAAAAATTCCTAGATTTGACAACAGCATTTAATACAGCAGCATACTAATATCATCAGCTGACAAACAAGGTCACCATGACAACCAAGAATTTAATTCTGGTGAACAACCAGAAGAAGCCAAGTATCTTGCCCTTTTTGTTCATATTTCGACTGGCAGCATCAGCATCATATGTATTAATTTAAATTCTTTGAGTGCCATTCTTTGTCACCCAGCCACACACAAGAGGAAGAGACTTGTGTGAAACCAAAGCTTTATGGATAAGTTTTTTAAAAAGCGTCTCAGTCCCCAGTCCCCCCCCCCCAAATGCCCAGTTAATACTGAGCATGCCTAGTGGGAGCAGAATGTTGGGTGACTGTTGAGGTGAAAATAGAATCCCCAAGAGAGGGAAGAATGGAGTGCAATATCCCGGAATGGGGCATTTTGTTGCAGGTCACAATTGTTTTCCCTGTTGGAACTAAAGTTCACTGCAAGAACAGACCATTGTCTTTTACTTTCTTTTTGTCTCTCGATAGCAATAGTATTTTTCGTGACAGAGAAATATGATAAATACGGAAATAATTCTTTAGTATACTTGAAAACCCATGTACCTTTTGGAATATTAAATTTTACCACAACGTTGTTCTGGAGGAGTATGTGGACTTGATAACAGAAATTATTTTTAAAGGCAATAGCCTTTTATATGGCTGGTTAGCAGAGCGCACATAAGGCTGTTTTATTGTAATAAACTATACTATAATGGCAAATAAATTATACTATAGTCACTGTGCTTTGTTTTGACATTTAGCAGATGTCGTCCTTCTAGAAAGAATAATGGATGGAACAAATTTCCACTTAAATTGATGCAAAATTGATATAATCTAACTATTAACAATTTGTCATAAAACCAAAACTATGAATTGCATTTTAAAGCTTGTCATAATATTTCTGTAACTAGGTTGATTACAGGGTAGGCATTGGGGACTTGAGGCACAAGTCAAATTTCATATAAATGATGTTTCATAAAATGTTTCTGCTCCTTTTAATGCAGTTGGGAATCATTAAGAATATATTTGTTCTTATTAAAAACTGCTTTCTGATGGTAATTCCAGTTCATTCCAAAAGCATAATTTACAGCTCTGAAT